CCTCTTTTAACTCTCAGCCTAATTCTTGGACTTATTAACACAGAGCAGGATTACTACAAAGGCTTTTGCAGGAATGTATGTAAAGTGCTCCAAGAAATACATAAACACTAAGAATCATTACATTTGACACTGAGGAGAAGAGCAACAAAATGTTGCAGTGTTACACATTCCTTGTTAGGGTTCTAGCCAGGCATCATGTCTTTTTTCCAGAACCCTACGTTTCTTCCTCAAACACTCCGTTGGCTACCAATAATAGTCAATCCTAACTGGGCTCTGGGATTTTTGATTTTTTTAAAATAGACTTTCTCCAGGCCAACAAATACCTCCCTCCTACACATCAAAGACGTTCATAAGTATCTACTAGCTGGTTTATATACACCCATGTTCACAGCTGGAAAGAGAATTAGACTCCAGATCACCTGATGTCACAGTTATCAGGGATGCAATCCTATACACACCCGCAGCAATGCTCCAGTGATTTAAATCAGATTTAGATCTGAATAAGCATAACTGAAATGCATGGTAAGGCATGCATAAACCAGATCTATGTTTATTATTTTATTGTATTTTCATTTTACTTTTTTGGACAATTATTATCTCCCTAAAGATAATCGTTGTGGTGTAGTGGGTAGAGTGGGGGACTAGGTCTCAGGAGGTCTGGGTTCGAATTTTCACTCAGCCACAGAAACTCACTGGAGGAGTGGCCCTGGCAAACCCATTCCTCAAATATCTCACTTATCCTGAAGCCTTATCAGGGTTACTACAAGTCAGTTCCGATCTGATGGCACATAACGGCAACAAGGGACTCATATCAGAAATAAAGATAGTTCTTACCATCCAGATTACAAACTGAACAAAGACATGTAAGAGAAGAAGTGGGAGCACAGAGGTTGTGGAGAGAGAGAGAACAGATTTCTAAGGTCAGAGACCAAGTGCTCATACTGTATCAGACATCCCTCTGTACCTACTCTGTGCCAGGCTGACCTTCTCTCGCTGGTGGTTTTGCACTGAATCATATTCGGCTGGCTGTTCTTGTGGTCCCAGAGCAACAGGCAGGGGGAGTGTTCTTTCTGGTGGTGGTGGGGATCAAACTCCCGGCAACTCTTTTTGCTGACAGATGGGCCAGGCTGGGTTCCTCTTTGCCTCAATGCTATTCCTAGCAGGCCAGGGACACAGCCTCCCAGGGGTGCCCTTGGTCTCTGGACTGACGGTGTAGACCTCAGAGGGGGCTCCCCCCTTCCATTCTCTCTAGTCACCGGGCAATTAATACAACTACAGCTCAGTTTCTGACCACCTGCTCAGTTTCTTTGGGAGCGCTGACTGCCATCCCATATCAGTTTTTTCCCCCATTCTTGCATGTGGAATTGAGGTCAGGCTACCTGACCTTTAATTACTGGGATCATCCTGCTTTGCATCATCCAATTCCAACCAACCTTTCAAGATTAATTAAAATTAGTGTCAAAAGGCTAGAGATTATCCAAGCCTAGGCACTTACGACTCATGTCATCCAGACCTACTGACTTTAAGACATTTGTTTGGAGCAGATGCAATTTAATACTTCTACTGAAGCCAGTGACCTGCTTCCCACCAATTTTCATTAATATATATTTTTGCCCTCTGTTTCAGGAAAAAGGTGCAAGACAGCTCCCTCTTCTTCCCAGAAAAGAAAAGGAAGGCTTAGTTAGCACAGATACATGGGACCGGATCCTGGAGGAAGCAAATTATGTGTCATGACTTTGCATCTTCAGAATCAATGGGACGTAAGATAGCTTTATGGATCCATTCCATTGATTTCACTGGGAGGAGAACATGACCAGTTTTCTAAGGATCCAGTCCACAGAAACAGCACACACGGCTGTGCCAAAATGAATTCTCCAGCAATGGTCAGCCAAGTGTCTTGACACCAATCTTCTGTAACTCTTGCCCTCCAGATGGGTGGCAGTGCAACTTCCACCATCCCAGCTGAGAGGACACGGATGATGGGCGTTAGAGTACAACGTATCTGGAAGGTATTGGGTGGGAAAGCTACTCTTAATACTTACAAGCAGGATATCCATCCTCTGATGATCCACAGCACTTTGCACTCAGAGCGACACTGCTGTTATATAGGTGGTCTGTTCCGCTTTAGCAATGATGGCTAGCAGCCAAAACCTGACTTCTGTGAACCTGACTTCTATTCCATCATCTTTACAGTAACAATCCTAGTTAAGGTGTCTTTTGTTCTATTATAGTTTTAACTTTTAAGTGTTGTGTACCATCAGGTCACTTGTCAAGTCAAGTGACTTACATCAATTCTAGTACAGTACAGCTTTCCAAGAAAGTGAGCTTTCCAAGAAAGTGAAATATTTAAGGAGCGGCTTTACCCATCCCACACGCAAACGGTGAGTTTTCACGGCCAACTCAAGATTTGAACTGGGTATCTCTTTTAACTTTTAGAATTATCCTTGATTCTAACTACTATGTATCATTCTTGAAAACTTTAAAAACAGCAACAGTCAATACGTACGACTAATTTTCTGCACTGACAATTCTGTATCTGATCACCATTCTTAGTTATCCTTGATTCTAACTACAGTACTATGTATCATTCTTGAAAACTTAAAAAAATAGCAACAGTCAATACGTATGACTAATTTTCTGAACTGACAATTCTGTATCTGATCACCATTCTGCATGTTACTTTTCTTGGAAAACTTGCATTATAACTGGCATTGCCTTTATGCCAAATCTGCATAATGAAGCTATTCTGGAATTGAAGATTTAATCAAAGCAATACTTCACATGTAAATTTATGCTGAGTTTTAAAGTATGGTTTATATACAGTGGATAATATGCAATGATGGCAAGTTAGTTTTTTTATGTGTTGCTTATATTGCAGTTTCATTAAAGTTTACATTCTGTAGAGAACTGAATGCTGAATCATTCAAAAGCTTTATGTCCTGAAATTGAATTTTTTCCTGTACGTTGCCTACATGCATTATTCATAAATTATTATCCCAAAATTTCATAGAAATAGTTACGTTCAACAGAAACAATAGCACATGTTCAGCAGTAGAGATAAATTGACCACACAAGTTCTCCTGTGCAAGAATCACATAAAGAAATCTAAAGCAAATGAACAAGTGTATTCTACCATGAGAATTGTCTTCAAAGTCTTTTGCTCCGTGGTGACAAAAATCATGCCACTCTATGCAACATGGGACTTAAACACAGGGGCAATAAGTGTTCATGTTAAGATTATTTCCTTGGACAACAGCAAAACACACTGTTGAGGAAGGCAAGTCAGGAAAGCTAAATGTCTGTCACTGTAAATAATTCACATCTCATGAGCCCTTATTATAGTTGCTAAGATATTTTTAGAAATTTAACTCCAACTCAAAGAAATCAAATAAAACACACTTGCAAAGCTCAAGCCAGATAAAAATTAGTCCCACTGAAAACAAACCACTGTACAGTAATTAAAAAAATGTTTTTGGATTAAATTGCTAGTCTGAACCAGAGTAGACCCACTGAATCGAGTATTTATTGCGTGGTGAAAGAACTGCTGGATAGCTCAGTGGTTTGGGAGCCCGAGGTTGGGGGTTCAACTCTCCACTCTCCTTGGCAGGGGTTGGCCTCGATGATCCACAGGGTCCCAGTTCTCAATTATTACTATCATCATCATCGTCATCATCATCACCAGCAACATTTATATCAATCCCACGTATTTGATTAGCCTTCTGCAGTTGGTCTAACAACTGGATTTCAAGGAGACAAAAGCAAAGCTAACTTTCTTGGATAAGTGCCAACGTTTATAAAATTATATCCCCAGGACCAAAATACAGCTAACACCTGAACCCTAATGGTACACAGGGAGCACCATCCAGCCAAAGCAAATAAGCCTCATTCATATCAATCACAAAGTTTCCCTTTTCCTCTTCTGTGAGGCAGCTTCTGCTATCAGAAATAGGAATGACATGTAACAAAAAACATTGAGGAAATTCTACAATACTGTATGCCTGCCTATTTACCCTGGAGTAAATCTGTTAAACAAAGTGGGACTCGCTTCCATGAAAACTGCCACAGAGTCCTGGCTGCACAAAAACATGACTGGCCCTGGAAAGGTCTGGAAATATTTTTATGCCCACAGAGAAAGGCTCTCAAGAAAAGGGCAAATTTAAAATGGGTAAGAATTCAAATAACAATTAGATGCAATGCAATCCAGCAACAGGCAGATGGGGCTTGAAATTCTGCCAGCCGTAAAGCAATATGCAGTAATGTTATTTCATCCGATCCAATTACACATTATAGTTTTAAAAGTATAAATTCGCCCCACTTTTTATATAGCTCCCTTGGGGCATTTTGTTTAGAACAGTCTGGTTTTCGAAACTCAGGATCCTGGAAAGGTCAAGGTCTAAACTGGTCTGTTAATGGGCTGAGAAGTTTTGTTTTTACTTCACCAGAAGCCATGTGCGTCTGTGAGAATACTATACGCCTCTCGCCACCACGCAAATAGAAAGTGCACAATCGAGCAGCTGATCCGTGTCAGCCTTGCACATTCCAAGCGAATCGCTCGCAAGAAATAGCCCTGCAACTTTTTCCCGGCCGAGAAGTTGCTCTTGTGGGCGACGTTGAATTAAACTCAACGCCTTGCCTTCAGCTCCGCGCAACCCTCCCGAAGCCGGACAAAGGCTACACTTTGCTCCCTGTTTTTTTGTTTTTTGGCCACCCTAAAGCTCCCAAGGCTAATCTCAAGAGAAAAAAGAAAGGATGAGTCTATTTCTATTACAAGGGATGAGCCCCACACGTAAGCAGAGGGATGCCCACTCACTGCCTCTGCAAAACGATGAAACGCAAGCATCCTGGATTTCCTATAGCAATCGTTATACTTAGAAATACTGTATATAAATATATTTAGAAAGTCACAATCGAGCTACTGATCTCTCTCTCTCTCTCTCCCATAAAACCGGTGCTTTTGGGAAAAGGCGCCCCAGAGGCTCGGCAACTCCTCCTCTACAAACCTGTGCTCCTTAGCGGCTCTTAAGAGGACTTTTTTTCCCCCTGCGATGGGGAGCCCAGAGCGGCCCATCTGCCTCCAGCCCGCTTGGCTCGCCAGTGGATCCGCCGCCGGGAAAGCTGCCCCTTCGCCTCTCTGGCGGCTGGAGGTCAGCGTGGCTTTGCAGGGCGGCCAGCCGACACGGGATGCCTCGCGGGGACCTGCACAGGATGAATGAATGAGCGGCTCCCGCCGCGGTTGCCGCCTGGCAAGCGTCACTTTGGAAAAGAAGCAAGCAAGCGCCCCCACACGCA